AGCTGCAGGGGCGCCCGGGCTGGGTGACGCCGCCGCCGCCCGCGCCCCTCCCAGACCCCGCCGGCCGCATGGAGACCCCGGAGGGCGCCGGCCCGGGAGGTGAGTGCGGCCCCAAGTCCCCAGGAGTCCCCGAGCTGCGCCTTCCCCCGCAGCCAGCCGCAGCCCCTTCCCCCCTGGCCCACTCGTCGGCCGCTCCCGGGGGCCGCACAAGACCCACCGGTAGCTCCGAGTTGCGCCTGGCCGGAGCCGGAGGAAGCCTGGCCTGCCGCCGGGGGAGCTAGGCCGGGGGCACCTCCCGGGAACGGCCCCCGCTTTAGGCGGGGGGCGCACACATCGCGTCCCCGCCCCCTTGTCCTCTGCGCTTTCAGTCGCCTGGCGCGCTCCTGGGTGGTTGGCCCAGAGTTTCGTGCTGAACCCCAAACCAGCAGAGCAGGGGTCCGGGGGGTCTGGGCATGGGGCGTGTCTGGGCCGCAGTTTGGGGTACAGCTCCGCGAGGCGTGGGGGTCGGCGCTGCCCTTCTGGGCCGCGTATCTGCTTTGTTCGCCGGGGGCTAGGGCAGGGAGGCCGCCGCTGGGATCCTGCAGGGCACCGCGCTGGGATAGGGCCGGGGGCGGGGGGCGTGGGGGGGGAGGAGGGCGTTGCACCCGGCATGGCCTACCGGGGGGGGGGGGGCCTGCCCCACGCTTGCAGGGCTTGTCGGCCAGGGCGAGGCCCAGGGGCGCTCACATCTGGGAGGGCAGGTATGCACGGAAGGAGGCCTCCTCGAAGCCCCTGTCCGCTCTCGGCGACTCTGACGTCTGAGATTCTACCTAGGTCTCCCCTCTTTGGAGTCCAGCTCGGTCAGGGCGGCAGCTGGTGACGGGAGGAAAACTCTAGGAACCCCCACCTCAAGAGTCCTTTTCAGGAAAAGTGTTCGGCGCCATGAGCGCCTCCACCGGCCTGGCTAGGCCCCAGACGCATCATGGGTTTCCTGGAGGTCCCATCCCAGGGAGCCACTCTTGACCACACAGGGACCTGAGGAGGGACCCCAGCCACGTCAGCAATCTCATCTGGAGCCCAAAGGGATGGCTCTCAGGGGGGTGTCCTGAAGCCATGGGCCCACCCACTGCTGTGTCTGCAGTCTGAGTTGGGCAGGTGCAGCCCAGACAGCTGTCTGAGGGCCCTTGTCACCCACCCGGCAAACACCACCCGACACACCCAGAGCTGGTGGGTGTGGGTTTTCTTTGTTTTGTCCCTTGTTTAAGGGATCCAGCTTTTTCTTGCCACTGACAGTCCCAGGACCCCAGGACTTCCCAGAGGCAGCTATGTGGGGACGTGATGGGAAAGGTTTGGAGGGCAAGGGCTGGAGAGCACAGAGCTGTGAGAGATGTGGGCAAAGCAGCTTGGCCCTCAGTTTCCATGTCCACTTCTGTCAGTGGGGACAGAGTCACTTCCCTCGCAAGGCTGTGGGAGCCCTGAGTGAGACAGGGAAGGAAGGCGCTGGGGAGAGGGGCTTCATGATCCTCCAGTTTATGAATCTCACGTACTCATTCCATGCACAGAGATGTATTTATAGGTGCCTACTCTGCAGGAGTCAGGGTGGGAGCAGAGGGGGCCCCACTGGGAGGGCTCACACTCTGTGGAGCCATTTCCTGCCTACACAGTGGCCTGGTGATCCCCTTGCCGTGGGATCTCTCAAGATCACGGGTGGAGGGCTGTGACCATCATTCTCTCAGTTCACGGACTTCTGAAAACTTGATTCTGGAGCACGTGGAACACACAAAAAAGTAGAACAATGTGGTAAAGCTCCGTGTGTCACCTCCCAGCCTGCTCAACCAGACCACCACCAGCCACCCTTCAGTAGTAATTTGTAGCCAATCTCGACATGTTATTTCATCTGTAAGTATTCCTCAAAGTGTCTCTAAAAGATAAGGTTTTCATAGAGCATAATGAAAATCCCATTTTTGCACCTAAACGAATTAGCAGTAATTTCTTAATATCAAAGTGTCCAGACATGGAGATGAGAAGGAAGTGCGCTTCTTGAAGGGCCCCAAGTGGGGCCTTTGGTAAACCCAGGTTCTGGACCCACCCAACTCCAAGTCTGTCCGAACGGCCACAGGGAGAGAGAGGCCACGGCCCTGCACTCAGGAGGCTGCGCCTTGGCACGGCCCACCCGGCATCCTCGACGTCCAAGGACAAGGGGCTAGGGAAATAGCGTACAGGGCCCATCTCTGTGACCATCTCTGCCTCCCCACTGCCATTTTGTTGTATATGATATTCATTTATTCACTTCATTAATTTGTTCATCTGTTCATGCAGAGCACCTGCTCGATGCTTAGGTCAAGGCCCAGGGCACACAGCAGGGAACTTAAGATTTGGGCCAAGTTCTCACACAAATGTGCTGGAAAATAGGTCAGCAGCCTAGTGCAAGGTAACCCTATCATATCCACTCACATCAGCCGTCGGTGCTGGGGGCGGAACTGTGGTAACCGTGGTAACTGCAGTCCCCATGGGGCCCTGCTTTGCTGCCTGCACAGGTCAGGGCAGCAGTGGCCCCTGCAGGGGCTTGATGGGGGCTACGCTGAGAATCACGGTGTTGCCACCCCGCAGCCTGGCCCCAGGTGCCCCTGCTCAGCCTGGCACCAAGCAGCCCCACCCCTCGCCTGCTTCTGCGATCACTCCTGTTTCCTACCCCAGGCTGAGCTGTGGGCCTCAGCCATGGACAGGTGATTCCTGCACAGCTGCTCAGAAACTCTGGGGTGGGGTCTTGGGCTTGTTCATTCATTGGACAAACATTTATTGGCTTGTTCATTCACTGGACAAATCATTTACCTACTGTGTGCCAGGACTAAGCCCAGGTCCTAGAGGTCACACTTCTCTCACCTACTGCCAGCCTCTGAGCCTGGTGCCTGGCGCACAGTAGGTGCGCAGCAAATGTTAGTTGATGTCTTAGGTCCTCCTGGATCTGCCCTTCAGTTCCATCCAAAATCAACCTGTTTCCACTGAGGATTTCTTTTATCATAAAATTCACTCTTTTAAAGCATAAGGTTCAGTGCCTTTAGTACATTTACAAAATTGTGCAACCACCACCACCATCTGATTTTAGGATATTTTCATCAACCTGAAAAGCAATCCCATACCCACTAGTAGTCACCCCCCATTCCACACACACCCCAGCTCCTGGAAACCACCAACGGGCTACTGTCTGTCTTTTCTAATCTACTTTTCTACTCTCTGTGGTTTCGCCTGTTCTGGACATTTCACATAAATGTTGCAATGCATGGCCTTTTGTGACCGGCTGCCTGCACTTAACCATAATGTTTTCAAGACTCATCTATGTTGTAGCCTGTGTCGGTGCTTTCTTTTTTATGGCTGAGTAACATCCCCTTGTGTGGATGGACCACATTTTGTTTATCCATCATCCATGATGCCATTGACCACAGATGCTTGGCTCTTTCAGGGATGTTGACACTTGTCAAAATGTGCTTAACAGTGCAACAGTCTAGGCCGTCTGAGACCCCTGAACCCCAGCATCTATAGTGGTGCTTGCCCCTCACCCTGTACTGTCTCAACACCTGTGGACTTTATCCTTCCCACCTAGCCTGCATCTCCTAAAAATGGAGGTAGATGTTGTCCTACTCAGCTCAAAACCCTTTGGCAGCTTCTCCCAGAGTAGCAAAGTCCTGATGACATCTGTGTGATGTGTATCCCCTACCGTGTCCCCCTGCCTCACCTATCACCATGAGCCATGTGCATGGAAGCATCTCACAATTATGACAGCACAGGCCAGCGTGATGTGAGCCCGTCCTACACCCTCAGAGAGAGGGACCAGGTGCTGTACTTCCCCACTCAAGGAAACAAAGCAGGTTCCCGAGCCCCACAGAGTAAAGGCTCCTCAAGGACTCTCGACAGGGATGGATGGAGAGGTTCAAGGCAGGGGCCCCTGCTCACCCCAGCTCAGAGCAGGGTCTGAATTACATCTCTCGTGCCCTCTGGGTGGGAAGGTGTCCTTGCTGGGCTGGGCGGGCCAGGACAGTGGTGGGTGTAACTCTACCCTTCGAGGATACTCAGAAGTCACGTTCCAAATGCAGCAGAGAAGTGGAAACCAGATACCCTGAGCCCCGTCCAGCCTGGCCAGCCCCAAACCCCATGTGATGACATGAATAGCATGGGCAGGTCCCCAGGCCCATCTTCCCTCAGCCACACTTCCCAGGGAGGGTGGTGCCCTCCCAGAGGAGGCCAGGTGTTGCCCAGCCAGCTCTACAGCTGTGAATGGATGGCCTATCTTCCCACTTTGCTGGAGACCCTTTAGACATGGGACCTGCTGGGCAGCATCCTGGCTGCTGACTGCACTGCTGAGGAAAGGCCCACCCGTGGCAGGCAGCTCCCGGTGTTGGGGGCCCAATTGCGCTCTCCTAGACAAGACCCTGGTGCATCACAGAGCACTGCTGAGGGGAGCCAGAGGGCATCTGTTCACTCTATGGGGCCACAATGGGGGCATGGGGGAGCCAAGGGATCCAGCTGCCTCAGGGGACATGCCTAACAGGTTCTTTGGCTGAGTTCGGGGAGTGACAAGGTGAGGCAGCAGGAGGGGGAGATGTGGATGGGCTCTGGAACATTCTGGAGGAACTGGTAGGAAATTTGGATGGAGGGATGTGAGCTAAGAGGTCAAGGTGTTGGCCCAAACAACAGAAGGGTGGGGTTGGTGCTTCTATGGGGCAGGGGTCCATCTCTGAGCGGCAGTCTCTACCAAGCAGATTGCCCCCAGGGCCTACTGCTCTCAACTGAAAGAAAAAAATAATTGTCATATGTAAAAAATGAGCAATTAAATCTTCCAAAAAAATTACATAGAAGAAACCTAGAGAAATATCCCCCAGTCTCTTTTACTATGAAAATAAATCATTATGCGTTCAAACAGAACGTGCATTTTTGTAAGTGCATCCACAGAGGACAGACAGGCAAGCAGGGGCCATTCTGGATCAAAGAGCCCCAAAAGGCAAGGAAATGCAAAAGTGACATGGGCCGGTTGGTTGGACCTGAAAGTAGAGACAGGTAACAGTGTTGCACACTCCCCTCCTCCTGCACCCAGTGGCCCTTGTCTGGGACCCCAGCCCAAGACTACCCCAGGCAACCCTGGTCGCCGTCCGGAGCCTCAGAGGAGGGCTCAGTGAGCCACGGACTCCCGTCTTCCCCACCGGCATCTCTCCTCCCAGGTAACACCTTCCGTCTTTGTTGCAGAAACCGTTCAGGAGGTGGAGGGACCACAGGCAGCCCTGGGCACCCTGGCCCACGGGGCAGGGGAGAGCTACCGCTCACCCACGGCCGAGGAGGAGGTGGGCATCCCAATACCAGCCCCGGGGCTCCTGCAGGTCACAGAGAGGAGGCGTAAGTACAGCTGACCTGCCCAGCATGTACTCTGGAGGGACGGTGAGCCCCTGGGGGATGGAGGGTCAGGTCCACATCCTGTCCAAACACTCCCCCAGGTGTGTGTGGGGGAGGGGTGCTGCGGCTGGACTCTTACAGCTCGGGCTGTGGCCTTGGCTATACCATCTGCAAAATGGGGGACCCAGAAGGCATTCAGTCTTGAGTGTGGAGAGCCGATGGGGGGATGGGGGTTCTGCCCCATCTTACCCTGACCCCGCAGGGCTCTGCCCAGAGCTCTGGTTCTTCCCCGGGGCTTCGGCGGCGGCAGGGGGAGGGAAGGTGGTCCCTGGGTGGCCAGACTGTGCCCATTATGAGCAGCCCCCTCCGCCCGCCCTGCAGAGCCCCTGAGCAGCGTCTCCTCCCTGGAGGTGCACTTTGACCTCCTGGACCTCACCGAGCTGACCGACATGTCCGACCAGGAGCTGGCCGAGGTCTTTGCTGACTCAGACGACGAGAGCCTGGCCGGTGAATCGCCAGCAGGTGGGCTGGTGTTGGGGCGCGGCGAGTGGTGGGCGGTTCTGGGGCCCCAGCCCATGGAACACGGCTCTCCACAACCCCTATTTTTGAAAATATTTTTCTCACACGTGTGTCAAAATTGGTGCTTGTCACTGCACCATCTCATTCAGTATTTTTGCATTTTACATGTCTACTTGCCCAACATCAAGGAATTTTTCTGTTTTCCTCAATTTTCCTTTCCAAATGCCAACAAAAGGCCAAAGTCATAGTCCCCATCAAAAGCAAAATTTACATGTGAATTTAATCACAAGTTAGGCCAAGCAAAGTGGGGTGGCCTTCATCAGCCCTGGCTCCACAGCTCAGGCCTTAGTTTCCCCTTCGGTTCCTGAGGAAGTGTTGCCCTTGGCCCAAGACGTCAAGGGCCCCAGAAATGGCAAGACCGCCAGTGGGGGTACGGGGACCCAGGGACCAATTCTTCTCTCCCTTCTTACACCTTGTGCAGGTGGGGGTGGGAAGGGGGTGCTCAGATCCCAGCCCTGTAGAGCCTGCACCCTGGGAGGGTAAGGGGCCAGCTGGCTGCTGGGGCCAGGCTCACACCTAGGGTGTGGGTCTCGGCCGCACAGGGACCCTCCTTGGGCATCAAAAAAGCCTTTGCCCGGGCTGCACCCGGACCCACAAGTCCACATTACTGGTGGCCTGGCATCTGTGTTTTCTAAGCATCCAGGGGACCCCAGTGTGTGGCCAGACACACACAGGCCCAGCCCAGTAGCTGCAGGAGTGACCTGACCCCCGTGTTCCCGTCAGGCCTGCACCCACTGCCCCGGACTGGCTGTCTGCGCTCCCCCTCCTGGACACGAACCAGGGCCGAGCAGAACCGAGAGAAGCAACCGCTTGGTGACCCGGAGCGCCAGCCAGCAATTGTGGACACATTTCTCACCGTGGAGAGGCCCAAGGAGGACTAGGCCAGCTGGCCTTGGGGCCAAGGCAGTGCAAATCTGGACAATTCTGACCCCACGGACACTCCGCCCACCCCATGTGGCTCTGGGCCAGGTTCTCGGGGCGCCCCAGCACAAGCACAGCCCAGTGGCCTTACGTCCCCACTCCTTTCCAGTCCCTGATCAGGGACCACAGCACCTGAGGATGAGGTGGGAGTGGCCTAGGCCTCTTGGAAACTTCTGTCTGCAGGACTGGTGCTCTCATCTGCCACAAGATTCCCAAGTGGGTGCGGGGTAAGGGTGAGCGAAGCCGGAGAGAGCTTCTCTGCAAAACCCCCGAGGATCTCAGGGTTCCGGTCTGGGAATGGCTACACCACGCTGCGGCCTATGGGATGCTCTGCTATCCAGCCAAGAATGTGGGTAGGGGAGTCCGTCCTGAACAACGCCACCTTCCTTTCAATCCCATCCTCTTCTTGGCACCAGGACCTCCTCCCCAGGCCCTGAGACCCAGCTCGTCTTAGTTCCTGTGTGACAGCCAGGCCCACCGTCCTCGGCTCAGAACACCAAATATGGCACGACTGCCTCAGACCGTGGGTGGGGGGGAGTGGGCAGGGGGACACACCCCTACAGCCTGTCACGCAAATGCACACAGAGGCATGCACAGTCCTAGGTCTGTGCCCCTGGATGGCGTCCTGGCCTGGGGTAGCGCAGCCCGAGGGGGACTGGGAACATGAGTGGACCCCGGCACGGCCCCCCAGCCCCCGACTTAAGGGCACCAGGCTCAGCTGCTCCCATTGCTGCTTTCTATGACCTAAGGGACTGAAGAGGCTCTGCTCTGACAGCAAGTCCAAGAACAGTTTCAAAATAAATGCGGAAGTTTGCTTCTGGTCCCCAGGCCAACCTGCCCTGACCCATTCCCCTCAAACATTTCTAGGGAAGGAACACCTGCTCTCCTGTAGCCCTGGGCGTGCCGTAGGCCCAGCATGCGCAGCTAGAGGCAAGCTCCCCGCCGAGAAGATCGGCCTCAGAAATGCTGAGGGACGGTGCCTGCTCCCTCTATACGATGAGCCCCAACTCAAGGGATGTTTACCAGGCATCATCCCGAAGTTCACTTAAAATCAAATCCCCTAAGGGCAGCTGCATGCCCCACCCACCCCACCCACCAGGATCATGCTCCCCATCTCCAGCCTTCCTGCTATGGCTTCCTTCCGCAGAGCTTAATATTTACACAAGATCGGATTAAAATCTCATCTCTCCCTAAGGCCCAAGCACGGTCTCTTCCGTTCCAGGTGACACCAACGCTCAGGAGTGCGTATTGGGGGGTGGGGGTGGGGTTGGCTGCTCTAGTCTTCCTCCAGCTGAAGCCACCGGGGGCTCCTCTGGGCTGCTCACGTGGGCCATGTCTCAGGGACAAGTGCCCTGGATTTCTAGGCCTTAGGAAGCGAAGATCCTGTCCCCCACCCCGAGCCCAGGCCCGGAAAAGCACAAGGTGCACTCTGGCAAGTCTTCCCAGCCCAGGCAGGTTCCCAGGAAGCTCCAGGCCCAGAGCAGCAGCTTGTCACAAGAAGGGAGCCAGTAGGTAAGGCCTGTGAGGAGAAGGCCAAGGGTGAGGCCAAAACCCCAATCCTCTGGATTACCCATGAAACAAGGGGCCCAGAAGACAGGCCCTGGGCCCCATGCCAGGCAGTTGTTCCCACTGGGCTCTCTGGAGGGAAGCCTGAGCCTCCCTCATGGAAGATTCCAGGCCAGGTCTCCTCTGTCCCTGGGCCTGTGTAGTGTGTGCCCGGATGGCCCAAACAGGTGAAGGGAAGAGCTGAGCAGACTCAGGGGAGGCGAGCACGAGGGCATCCAAGGCCGCAAACAGCAGGGGTTGGGGTTGCGGAGCACCCAGGTGTGCTGAGAGCATGCCTCGGACTCCGGAGAGGGGCTGTGCCAGGCCTCAAAATGAACAGGTCCCAGGCTCTGGACACCACAGAGCACCCTCCCCTCCGTCAGAGGGAGCCCCGAGACAGGACCCTGGCAGGTCCCCACGCAGCTCAGATAATGAAGGCTAGGTTTAGTGGGGACTTCATTACAGGATGGGCTCTGGAGATGTAAAAAATTCAATAATGGCACGTTTTACAAACAACAAAAGTTGAAAGTGCTTGTCCCAAGTTGGAAATGCTATTTTTGAATCCAGCGGAATTTTTAAACAAGTCCCAGTGTCTGGGAGAGAGCAGAGCAGAGAGCCAAGCAGAGAGCAGAGGTCCTATGAGGCAGCAAGCAGAACCACCCCCTCCCCAGGATGCGCCGAGCACCAGGGGTCCCGGACACTCACCGACCCACCCAAGGGCTGACAGCCCTCTACTGCCGTGATTCTGATACCTCTGGGAGGCAGGCTGCGTGGAGAACAAGCAGGACACTGCCCCTGAGCCCCAGGCCAGTTCTGACCCCAGCTCGCCGGGCCGGGCCGGGCCGGGCCAGGCCCTGGCCATGCTCCAGGACCAACCAGACAACCTACGGCATCAGAGGCCTAGAGCTCATAACCCAGAACTGGCCTTCTTCCGTTTGGCAGTTCCCCAACACGAGGAAGAGCGTTACCAGGGGCAGCGACAACAGGGCTCTCCACATACAACCCAGGGGATCCCAAATCAGTCCAGAGCCCCCTCTGTGATTCTAACAAAAGGGGGTGGCAGGGAACGTGGCTTGCTGGAGAAGGGAATTGAATCCAGACACACCCTCGTCGGCAAAGCCGCCTACCCAGGAACTAGTGCTGCTTTGGCTGAGAAACTGCTTCCCTCGTGCTCACAGCAGTGCCCGGGTGCTGGGGGGGGCAGTGGGAGTGGTTCGGGGCCCCCATGGCTCCATTACCCTCCCCCAACCACACACCTGTGGGAAGTGTTGAGTTTCCTCCAGAACCACTGACAGGCCTTCCACCAACCCAAACAGCTGTTGTAAAAACCTAACACTTTCCCTTGATAACTAGCTTAGATTTCCCTTTTCTTAATTCTGCCACTTGACTAAGCCTTCAGAATTTCTGAACTGAGCCAAAGCCTCCTCTCCTTGGGGAAACTGAAGAGACCAGCACTCACACTTGCCCGTGAGGCGGCTGTACCCACCAAATCCACCCACCACCCACCTCCCTTTGTGGGAGGCCCCTGGAGGTCCAAACTCAAAACCCCACGAGGAAGACACTCGCCCACTGCTCTCCCCGGGGGGCTACTGCCCGGCCCTCTGACTGGGGACCCCGTCCTCTAGGGCTGGGGTCTGACTGCCCAGATCTAAAACACCCGTTTGCTGTTATCATGTTTTAATTTGTTTTCCAGTGATTTTGGAAGCAGCTTTCCTAGCTGGGCTCTCCTGCAGGTGGCGCTTTGCAGTCCCCTCCTCCCGCCCCTCAGGAAGGGACACGTTCTCCTGCAGGCTGCCGGTGCCTTCCACAAACTCCTCATGGGTGGACTTCTCCGCAAAGGGCCGGGGCCCAGCAGCCCCACCATGTCGGCCTCCTCCAGCACCTCCGTCTCCAGCAGCGGCCTGCCCACCTAGAAATCACAGCTGCCTGTCACTCAGCTGCTCCCAGAACAGCAGGCCCTGCCAAGGCAAACCCCAAACCCAACATCCCGTGAGGATGGGAGTGCCCCAAGCCGGGACCCGCCCCACTCACCTTGTCCACCTGCTCTCGGCACCAGGTTAGCACCTCCTCATCTATGGGCTGGGCAGTGGCCTCACTGTGCAGCTTCTCCACCAGCATCTCGCCTTGTTGCGGGGGAAGTCAAAGGACACCTGTCCCAGCTTTTCATTCAGCCCAAACTACACAATCTGGAAGTAAGGAGCTGGGGGTAAGCCTGGAGGGACTCAGCCATGCAGAGCCCCCCACTAGGGTGGCTGCCCTTTACCTGGGCAGAGGTGCTCTGGGTGACCTTCCTCAAGGTCACAGGCACTGACCAGCCCCGGTGGTGATCTGCCCAAAAAACAGCTGCTCAGCCACCCTGCCCCCCACCATCGTGCACATGCGGTCAGAGAGCTGCTCCCGTGTGGACAGACACTGCTCCCTGGGCAAACACGGGGCATAGCCGAGCCCTCTGCCCCAGGGGATGATGGACACCTAGAAGACACAGGCAGGCAGTACTCTGCTCATGCCCCACACAGAGCTCTTGGCCCCTTCCAGGTCCCACCTATGGAGTATCCCAGACCAGTATGCCCTACTATGACCACTGGTCACAAGGGCGTGGGAGGAGAGGAGACCCCTGGGCCCCACCCAGGAGTAGGTGGGTCCGGGTGGGGTCACCCCAAAGATTAACATGGAAACCACCTCCATCCTATCAGTCCCAAGGAAGTTCTCGAGGAGCCATCCCATTGGGTCCAAAGCTCAGGAGTGAGGCAGGTTTGACGTCAAACCTCTGGGGTGTCAGGTGGCCGGCATCCAGATCCCACCTGGAACCAACAGCCCTCCTCCGCTACACACCCCTGAACAATCTTTGGAACCCGACTCCTAACCATTACATTCCCTGGGAAGGAGAAGGGCTGCCACTGTGAATGTACCGTGCCCACAAGACCAGAGACCAGTCACCCGGGTAAGGTGAACACTCAGACCGACCTTCAACACAGGGTCAGCATGCTCCAGGACCCAGCGCACCGCGTGTCCAGCCTCACGGCAGGCCACGGTCGCCTTCTCACTGGGCTGCAGGACCTGCGTCTTTTCCTCAAGGCTTACACATCAAATTCCCAGGCCAGTGAGAGGCAGAGGAGAAAAGGACAGCTGGGAAGTGGGTGCCAAATCCCCCCCCTCCACTTGGGGAATGCTGAGGGCTGGTCAGAGCCTCTGCTCAGCGAGTACGGACTCACAGCCCGTCTGCTGCACACACACGGCTCAGGCCGTTTGGTGCCTGTCCCTCCACACCAGGCACTATGCTGCCTTCCGCTCTGCAGACACCTCACCTCCCCAACGGAAAGAACGTGTCCCACCTCATGCACTTGGCATGCAGCAGACGGCTTTAGGACGCCTGTTTCCAGCCAATGTGATCAGCTATCTTCTCTGGCCTGCTCAGTGACCCCAGAAGCATGGAGACCAATGCCTCCTACACCCTAGCTGACAGGTAGTCATCAGCGCACAGAAAAGGCACCAACTCCCACTGGGCCCAGCTTTACAGCTGGTCAGCTCAGCAGAACGGCCAGGACAACCCTCCAGAAGCTGGAGAGACGTCTTGGGCTGCCCGACACTCCACACTTGTCTATGCACGTTGTGCTTCACTAACAAATCAAGACAAAGCAGCACTGTGAACCGGCCACTGGTTCACAGCCGTGAGGGTGACCACGAAGGGCAGCCACTGGCCACCGGGACACCGCCCTGATGTCCATCCCCGGGAAGGCACTCACTCTGGAGAGACCCTAAGCCACTGACCGCAGTTCCCTGAGCTGCTGAACTGGAGCCAGGAGGCCAAGCAGGCATCACTGTGCTAAACCATGCACATCAGCACCCACCCACCTTCAGAGGGCTGTCTTGGCAGCTTCCACAAGGAAGAGCCCACAGAAGCCCCTCCTCCCGTCTGCAATCAGCATCCAAACCAGGGCCTGATCCACTGCCCTGGAGGCCCCATCTCTCTGAGACTCTAAATGTAGCTCCAGACAGAGCATGAAAGCTATTGGCAGATTCCCAAGTCCCAAATTCTGGTTTGGAAAACTGACTATAGTTCCCGTGCGCTGAAGTAAAGCTGGGCCAAGAGCAGCGCTAGCAGGCCCCCTAGCTCAGCTCCAGTGACCGTCACAGCGGCCAGCTCAAGGTGCTTCTCCAAAACACAAGGACTCAGGTGGCGGCGGCAATCAGCGCCACTTCCCTGCAGACACTAGAAATGTCAGCACCTGACCCGGGGAAGGAAAACCTGTGGACATCAGTGCCTGGGACTGCGCACTATGGGAAGAGCTCGCGGCTACAGAGACCAGAGCCAAACTAGGGAACGGCTTCGTCAGTCACTACTATTTTGGACCAGTTTTTCGATTAAGCAACTTACTGAGATAGTGTAATTTAACATAAAACCCATCATAAGTGTATACTTCAGAAACTTCCAGTAAATTTATCAAGTCATGTGCCTAGTGCCGTAGTTTCAGACACTTCCATCCTCTATATAAGATAACCTGTGCCTGGGGTGGCCGGGTGGCTCAGTCGTTAAGCGTCTGCCTTCAGCTCAGGTCATGACCCCGGGGTCCCTGGATCGAGCCCCACGTCGGGCTCCCCGCTCAGCGGGGAACCTGCTTCTCCCGCTCCTCCCTGCTTGCGTGCGCACACGCTCCTTCTCTCAAATAAATAAATAAATCCTTTAAAAAAAAAAAGATACGCTGTGCCTTCCACTGCCCACCCCAACCAACCACTCTTCTATTTTGTCTCCTTGCAGCTGCCTGTTAGGGACATTTCGTATACATGGAATCACACATGGAATCACACGGCCTTTTGTGTCTGGCTTCTTTCACTTGGCATATTTGGAGGTTCATCCATATTGTATCATGTATCAGTATTTCATTTCTTTTCGTGGCTGAATAATATTCCGTTACGTACACACCTTTTGTTTATCCATTCCTGCACTGATGGACATTTGGCCGTGAACATCCACGTACAAGTCTTTGTGTAGCCACATTTTCAATTCTCTTGGGTAGACACCAATGAGTGGAACTGCTGAGTCATATGGTAACTCTGTATTTTACTTTCTGAAGGACAGCCAAACTGATGTCCACAGCCTGTTTCACACGCCCACCAGCAACATATTAGGGGTCCTGTGTCTCTGTGTCCCTGCCAACTCTTAACTTTTATAGCCATCCTGGTAGGTGTGAAGTGCTATCTCATTGTGGTTCTGATTTGCATTTTCCTAATGAGTAACACGCAGCATTTTTTCACATGCCTTTTGGCCATCTGCATATCTTCTCTGGAAAAATGAATATTCTAACCCTTTGCCCATTTTTAAATTAGGTTCTATGTTCTGGATTCTAGACCCTGATTTATCAGACGCAGGATTTCCAAATACTTTCTTTCACTGTGTACAGTGTCTTTTTATTCGCTCAACAGTGTCCTTTGATACACGAAAGATTTTAATTTGGTAAGTCCGATTAATTTTTTCACCTGTTGCTTGTGCTTCTGGTGTCATATTTAAGGAACCACTGCCAAGACCAAAATCATGAAGATTTGGTCTCCCATGGTTCTTGTAAGCGCTTTACAGTTCTAGCTCTTACATTCAGGTCTTTTATCCATTTTGAGTTAACTCAAAAAGTGCAAGGGTCCAATTTCATTCTTTTGTATGTGGATATCTCACTGTCCCAATACTTTCTGTTGAAGGAACTGTCCTTCCCCCATTGAATGGTCTTTACACCCTTGACAAAAATCAACTCAGCAAAGATGTACGGGCTTCCATCTGCAATCTGCGTTCTTGAATTTTGTTCTACTGGTCTATGTTTATCCTTGTGTCAGTGGCCATGTTCTGTTTATTGGCCTGTGTGGCAAGTTCTGAAATAGGAACACGTGAGTCCTCCAACTCGTTCTCCGTTTATGAGGCTCTCTTGGCTATTCGGGCCCCTTGCAGTTCCATGTGAATTTTAAGATCAGCTTTTCCATTTCTGGCTTTAGTAACTATACAAATGCTCTGCTCCTGTATATCTCCTTCCCTCCACACCTTTATGTCGTTACTATCAAAGACTACAGCTTTCTACATTACATACCCATTAACAGAAATTGTAATTATTGTTTTATACACTTGCCTTTAAAAATCGCATAGGGAGGGGCGCCTAGGTGGCTCAGTCATTAAGCGTCTGCCTTCGGCCCAGGTCATGATCCCGGGGGTCCTGGGATCGAGCCCCGCGTCAGGCTCCCTGCTCCGCGGGAAGCCTGCTTCCCCCCTCTCCCACTTCCCCTGCTTGTGTTTCCCTGAACAGTTACTTGTACCAATGTTAACTTCTTCCTATGGCTTCAAGTTCTGGGCTGGCATCCTTCCATTTCAGTCTGGAAGACTCTCTTTAGCATTCCTTGTAGGGCAGGTCTAAACATATCGAACTACCTTACCTTTTCAGTATCTGGGGATGTCCCCATTTCCCCTTCATTCTTGAAGGGCAGTTTTGCCAGATGCAGAATTCTTTGTTAACAGATTTTTCTTTCAGGACCTCAAACTCGTCACCCCATTGCTTTCTGGCCTCCGGAGTTTCTAATGAGCAATCGGTTGTTAGTCTCACTGAAGATCCTTTGTACACTGTGTCCTTTCTCTCTTGCTGGTTTCAAGAGTCTCTCTTTCTTTGGCTTTAGCAGTTAGATTATAATGAGGGTCTGGGTGGATCTTAGAGTTTATCCCTACCTGAAATTCACTGAACTTCTTGGAAATGTAGATTCATGTCTTTTATCCAATTTGGGAAGTTCTGAACCATTACCTCTTCATATCTTCTCTCTGCCCCTTGCCCTGTCTTTTCTCCCTCTGGGCCTGTCATACTATGTATGTTGACGGTGCCCCAAGTGGCCCTACATTCTGCTCATTTTCCACTCTTTCTTCCTTCTGCTCCGCAGACTGGGTAATGTCATTAGGCCTATCTCCAAGTTCGCTGATTTTTCCTCTTCTCACATCTGCTAATGGGCCACTCCAGTAAACTTTTCATTTCAGTTACAGTACTTTTCTGCTCTAGAACTTCTGTTGGGTTACTTTTGATAATTTTTATTTCCTGACTAACATTCTCTTTGTTGAGACAAACAGTTACTCTGGTCCCCTTTGGCTCTTTGGGGATGCACACTTAGGACAGCTGACATTAAGTCTTTGTTCTAGTAAGCCTGATGTCTGTGCTACCTTGGGGATGGTTTCTGTCCATTTTCTCCTGTAAATAAACCATACTTACTGTTTCTTTGTATACTCTGTAATTTTTTGTTGACTCATTAGCCAAGTTTTAAAATGACCTTTTCTCTTTCACTTTCATTACTACATTCTAGTGCAAAGAATGAGCAAAAATGCTAAAAGGGAACTTTACACGTCAGGTTCCCAAGGAATACCAGGTTTAAAATGTCTGGATCGCCCGCACACACGGAGGGGAGGGCTGGACAGTAAAAGTGCCACAGTCAGCGCTTGGTTCTGTGGCTCCTGAGAAGGTGTCAGAAGTTCTTTTACTCCAAGAATCCCACACGCCCCCTTCTGTGTGTGAGGACAGACAGACCATTCTCTATCCCTGCAACGCTGACCTTCACAAAGCCTGTGTCTGCCTCTCCGGGACAGCGGGATCCAGGTGATCAGCCTGAGACAGGAGGGCAGCTCCATGAGGTGGCCTCCTAGGGACCCTGGGAGGCTGAGGCTGGGGAGTTCCGGGTGATCCCGCCGAGTCATCCTGACGGCTGATGGGCAGCCTCTAATGCTAACCTGGGAAGAACAGAGCCTGGGAGGCCTACTCTAGTTTCTTATCTTTGGTGTGTAAGCGGACATGGGAGACACAGAGGGAGAGAGCAGAAAGCACGTTCTTCGCAGGAAACAGACCAGGCCCTTCATGTGCCAGGCGGATGGGGTGAGAATGCCTCACTCATCACCCTGTCGCCGACAAATGTACATTCCCACGTGTGACCTGACCTCGGCCCTGGCCCGGCAGGGGGCAGGACACCGGGGAGACAAGGCTCCACAGCACAATGTCCCAGGGATGGCAGGAGCTCCTCACAGTCATCATGACACTTCCAAAGGGCTGCTGAGTAGGGGATAACCTGGGAGGGAAGCCCCCTGGAAAAGCCCTAAACTCCCAGTGTCTAAACCACCCTGGTAGGGCAATGAGTTTCCTAGTACAGGACCTTGGGTTTTAATTACAAAGAAAAGAGAAAAGCAAAGGAAGCTCCCGTGTTGGGAGCTCAAGCCCAAGACTATAAAATGCAGCACAGCTCAGTTCAGTGGGCCTGTCCTCAGACATCAGTTAGGTCTCTGCAGCGAAAACTTACCAAGTCTAAACAAATGGGTACAAATCAGCTTTGGGGCTCATCACCTCTGAGGCCTTTAATTTGTCTCAACAGATTCAAAGTTCTAAAGAAAAAGGTGGACACTTGCCAGGACTGAAGAGCACCACAGAAACCACCCGCCAATCACACATGCCCCCCACCCCCACCCCCGCCCCACAGGCAAGAGGCCCGGCCTGGCCAACACTCACCCGTGAAGCCCAAAGTGAGCACCATGAGCTTTCTTGCCAGGGCATCCTTATAGAGGCTCCTGTCCAGCTTCAGTGGGCGCAGGTGGACCCTGAAGACGGAGGACCTGCCTGTGACGTCAGGGGCGCCTAACAGAGAGAGAGACATGAAGACATGGCAGGGTCACCTGCAACCACTTTGCAAGGACAGCCTGGGGCTCCAGGCAGCATCCCTGCCGTGTCCATGCTTCACACTGTTATTCGACCAGGCGGCAATGACACAAATATCCCAAAGCTCACATACACTCAGCTCTTGAATGCAGTAAAACACCTTCCTGATTGTGCTGCCTTTGACCAACATCAAACCCGTTCCCAGCGCTGGGACCCGACGGTGAGCAAGACAAGGACCGCCCTGGGCAGCAGGGGAAGTCCACACAGGATGGACACTTTCTCACAAATGGAAAGGGCCAACTGCGTCAGTGCCCCAGCCACCTGCCGAGGTCTCCATCCAGCCGGCCCTGCTGGACTCCCAGGGCCCAGGGAGCTGGACTGGTCCAGGGCGGGCCGGGCTGTGGAGAACAGGGATGCCCAACAGAGGAAATGCTGGTGCTCCCCCCGCTTTCCCCCTGAATGTTTTCTCCCATCAGTCCTCTGAGACATCAGAACAGATTCATAATCTAATGAGAATGACTGCTGGACGCTAAGTATGATGGAAGATTCTGGAAATGCTTTGGTCTGTGCAGAAAGAAAATAACACAGCAGGTCTAACTGTTCATCCTCCCAAGATCTGCTTACAAGGCAGCCCTCAGCTGACTCTGGGACCTGAGGTTGGGGAGGGGCTCCCCCTATGCCTAAACTGTTTGTGCAAACAGTGGTTTATGCTGAGCACCTGCCTTCCTCCTGGGAGGCTGGGATGTTGGTACATACCGGGCACAGATGCCACGTGACCAGCCCCTGCTGAAAATCCTGGTCAGCCACAATGCCACGTGTCATCACAGCTCCAGGCCAGGGAAATCAGCACCTCCTGCCCCTCCTCAGGGAGGCTGCAGCCGGCTTCCCTGGGCTGTGCCCTTCCCTGCGCGGATCTTGTCCTGTGTCTGTCATCAGCACAGTCGTAGGTACGACCACACATGAGGTCCTGGGAGTCCTCCTAGTAAATCACCAAACCCAGGGTACTCCTGGCAATCCCAAAATGAAGGTCAAAACTTGCCACAGGCCCAATGAAAGCTTCTCCAAATCTGAAGAGTGGCGTCAACACCCAGACGCTTCCAGTGACGCCTCAGCAGGCCTGACAAGCTACCAGACACCCTCGGTGGAATCACTTGGGAGGAAAGATATTTCTGTCCACGAGGCAGGCCTGTGCACCTGTGAGATTCTGGGTCAGCGAAGGCGGCAGGAGAGAGGCTCAGAGGAAGCAGCAGAGGCTCCATCCACACCATCCTTGGGTGCCAAGGCCTATGTGAGGAGGGGCAGGGGAGTCCCCATCTAGCCCGTTCACCTCCCCAGGGGGCCTTCACCCCGCATCCCTGCTAACCCCTCCTGCTGGTGGGGCACCGGCGGGTGCACTGGCCCCTCATCCTATCGGCGACTCCTCGGGGCCGATGTTGATCTAACATAGCTTTCTCCATTAAGTCTGCTGGAAAGCAGCCTTCCTAAAAACCTAATCATCAGGGATTCTCGCCGAGGAGTTTCCAGAAACAAAAGCTGAAGGAGGGTCATGTGGTGTCTGGTGGTGCTGACTGGACAAGCCTGCTCTCAGCAGCTGTCACTGGTGAGCATCCGCTCACCACCCATCTCCACAAGCATCTGGTTCAGTGTGTTCTCCTGCTCGCTCTGGCCTCCAAAGTGCCCTGGGTCTCGCTTCCTGCCAACTGCATCAATCTCATCAATAAATAAGACACAAGGAGAGTTTTTTCGAGCCACTGCAAACATGTCATGAACCTGAAATAGGAATCCACATAGAGAGTTGGTTTTGCTACTGGTATGAAAACAAAAATGAGTGTTTGTTAACCCAAGTCTCTCCTCTGGAACCCTACCCTTATCTGGTATCCGTGGCAAGCTCTGTGCTTACTGCCAGGGGTCCACACAAAACCTGGGGCTGTCCGACTCAAGGACAAGCATCCACCTACCCTTGCTGGCCCAACGCTGACAAACATTTCCAGAAACTCTGACCCATTCACGGTGATGAAGGCACACTGGCCTCCCCTGCAGTCACTTTGGCAAGAAGCATTTTGCCAGTACCAGGAGGAGCAGTGAGCATGGCTCCCTGAAACAGAAAGGTGATGCCTGGTTCTTCAAGGGGACAGATGGAACCCAAAGAGAGTCCCATTTTCTATTTAAAAAGGTGACTTCTAGGCATCACTACCAAGATGATGCACCACTCATAGTCTGAGATTTTCCTTTTAATATTTTCTGCTTAGAAAATTAATGCATGCTCACCATAAAAAGTTCAAACACTACAGATACATGAAAGCTCATCCAGCTAAGCAGGTTATGTCTTCACAAAAGCTCCCAGGGGCAGGGCTTGCTGGATCAAAGGGTCTGAATGTTTATTTTAAGTTACTGTCAAACTGCTCTACAAAAGAGTGACACCGTTTCCCACTCCCACCAGGAAGAACAAGAGCCCAACCCCTCAGATCTGAGGCCACAGCGAGTCTCTCCAGCTTCACAGCTAGCTGGTCTCAACAACAGAAACGCTGACTCATGCACTTCAGCCACTGCCCGGCCCATCTGTGGACCTCTCTGTGACCTGCCTTTTCCTATGCTGACTTAAGGTGCTGTTGTTTTTTTTTTAAGACTTTACTTATTTGACAGAGGGAGACACAGCGAGAGAGGGAACACAAGCAGGGGGAGAGAGGGAGAAGCACGCTTCCCGCTGAGCAGGGAGCCCGATTCGGGGCTCGATCCCAGGACCCTGGGATCATAACCTGAGCCGAAGGCAGACGCCTAACGACTGAGCCACCCAGGCGCCCCTGACTTAAGATTTAAAATCACCAACTCACACTCTGGTAACACACCTCGGTGTTCATTTTAGGGATTACCATTATGCCTGAAAACTGAAAAGAGATTTAAAGCAGGGAGCTTCTATTGCTCCATCTCTAGTCAAGGCCGCAGGTTAGTATCTGATTACCTCAAAGGGGACCATAAGGATTTTTTTAAGTCTTTAAGAACAAAAACAAAATACTCACAAAAAGGTAGGGGAGAGGGAGTCACGGAACTCAAACCCACAACAAGGTGTTGGACCCCATGTCCCCATGAACGTGGATTAGGGATTCACAGTCCACTGTGATCCATCTCCACCCGTCGTGGAACCACATGCACAGCCGATTCTTCTGGAAGAGGAAGCACACGTGCTCATATCTACTGTAGGTCGTTTTAGGAAGTCACTGAACTTCACACCCAGGAGGAGCTGAAAAGCCATGTGGGCCCTGACATCCTCAGCACCACACAGAATGACAGACCCCCCCCCC